CAGATTTTCTTAGTTCAATACAACATTGTTTTTTCACCATCTTAAGCAGCTCATAGCTAGTCCTGCAAGGTTTTCTGAAGTTGTCTTTTGCCTTTGCCAGATTGTGGACTACGTAATAGAGGAGTCCATACCTTCCTCAGATAGTGATAGTGATAGTGATAGTGATTCAGATGACTCAGTTGATGGCTCACTCTTCAAGCTGTGGGCGTATCCCATGAGAAGATCTTTGTTAATATATCGAGACAAACAGTTCATTGGCTGGGGACTGAAACAATGAGGTAAAGGATTGTAATTAATGTCCCCGTTCAAATATCAATCAAATGTGACAATTAATTTGCCTTCTCCGTTGTTTTGTCCTTTTTATTGTTTCTGGTTTGGTTGGGGAGCTTTACAGTTTATGTGAAATGGTCGAATACATCCTTTATACAGAGAGTTGTAGAAATGAAAATGTCATCAGCGTAAATACATTTTGGAATTAGGTTCGCAGACTGCAACTATTCATTGAATCCGCCTAACCTACATTTTGCAAGTAGACAATTGACAGCTCACAAGTTTCAATCTTTTTTAATAGTCAAGTCTACCAAATCATAACCTTGAGCTAAGCCATGTCCTTGAACTGTAATGAAAACCAATTGATGCCTCAGTGCCATCCTATGCCTAAATGGGCCATTGAAGCAACAAGGTATAATGCAATATCAAGAGTCCTTGCGGATGAGACAAATGCTACAGGTATTCTAGAGCCACAGCAGTATCACCAAGTACATTGCACCGTACAGCAATATTACCGAGTACATTGCACCGCAGCAAATTATACGGCCAAACTGATACATAACACACTGAATTAAGTTGTGAAACGTAATTCGCATCATTCCCACCCTTGAAAGTAGCCACACAGAGAGACATTGCTGTCAAACAAAAATCAAATACGTGTTTTTCATTATCTGATTTATAATTGTAGGAAATACTCACTTGCATATTAATGTGTACTGTCACCCTGATGACTGCCAATATTCATACAGCAGTCTTTCAAAATTTAACAAAGAAGAAAACCATATCTGGAACTCAAAAACTACCACAAAAAGCGCCAAGCTTGTTTAGTAATAACAAAGCAAAACCAGTAAACAAAGGGTCTTCTAGCATAACTGAATCACAACATCTGGAGAAACGACTCTGTGAACCTAAGGGGTGCCACCTATTCTTCTCTATAGGAACTTTTTGTCTTTCAGTGGACCTCTTGGAATTTTGCTTAGAACCTTGACGTTAAAAACAGCATACTGCTTTTTGATCTCTGCCTCAGCCTTCTCAGCAAAAGCATCAACCTGGTCCTCATACTTCTCATAAAGTACAGGGACGGTATGGAGCAATACAAAGCCTGTTTGCAAAGAGAAGGGAAAAGGCGCACTATCAGAACTAAACTAAATCATACACATTAGATCTATTCATTCCAGTAAAGAACAGGATAAAATCGCTTACATATGTAGAACAAGGTGAGGAAGTTCCAGCAATTCCCCAATATTGAAAGTACCCATAAGCCAGCAATAACCTGCATGTAATTTTTGTATCAAAACTTGGAGAAGATGAAACTTAAATAATGAAGAACCAACAAGAAGTTATGCTCAAGCTTAAGCTATCAAAATAATGGACTCAAATTACAAAACAAATGGACACGAAAACATACAGCAAGGAATTTCTTCAATTCCTTTCCAGAGGCAATATCCCGAAGGATTTCAAGAGCTCGGTTGATTTCAATCCTGAGGGCAGAAGCAACACCCAGGACAATGTCCTCGGGCAAAATGACTTCCGGAATTTGGGGTGGAGACCTGGTGCATGATATTTCAAGGTCAATTATCAGGTAAATCTGGATAGAAAATTACTAAAGAAGGGAAGAATATACTTACTTGTTGATGAAGGTGGATGCATTGGACCAGAGGAAAAGGACAGCTAAGGCAAGGATCAGAATATGGCACACAAGTGTGAGCAAGTGGTACTCAAGCAACTCAAAAAGCACCCAAATTGCAGTGGCAAACCCAAGCACGCCGGCAGTAATTTTTTTGTCCCTCCACAGGAAAACGTCAGCAGCTGCCCAATCGAATTGAATAATTAGATACATAAAAGCATGCAGCTATAAAAGAAAACTGTGTAACTGCACATCAGACACACATCACCGATGTAATTCTACCATCTCACGTAAACCGTGCTGCTAAAGTTAGATTGTATATCAAATATACATGTTACATGTCAAAATTGGCCAATAAATCTTCCTATAAAAATAATTCTTCAGTTAGTGGATACGAGTAACAACGAAGCATGCGAGTGTCTAGTTTATTTACAGGTAGTACATTCACAATGCAACCTTCTCAAGAATTTGATCTCGCTATGAACCAATTTCGAAAATATTATACACTGCATGAATGGGAAAGATAACAACACAACCAACCGCAGATCCATGCGAAGCCAATGAACAATAATGTATCAGAAAAGGAAAACAATAGAGAGACACTAGCGTGGATCCAAATGTATGTAGCTACATATAAACGAATGAAATTCGGCTCCAACTGTTGCAACAGATCTCCAATTTCAGAATTTTGAAAAGGAAAAGAAGAATTAAAGCGCATTTCAACAGCAATGCCAAATAAATCTAAAGTAATTCAAACTCCGAAAATCTTAAACTAATTTTAAGGTATAATGAAAATGCATTTTGAATCAAAGGACAAACCGTATCACATATATCTTTATACACATCTATATTGAAAAAAGAAAAAAGTAGAGATTTAGAGAGAGAAAGAGATTTGAGAGATGTACGTTTTCCACCGCCGAGAACCTTATGGACGGGTTTTTCCCTGCCAAAGAGACGATAGATCTTAGCCTTGACGGCCTCGACCGGCGATATTTTCTCCTTCTCATCTTCGGAGTCCGATGAGGATGAATCGTGGTGCAACTTATCGTTGATCTTATCCATCACAGATTCAACAACTGACTCGTGCTCGCCGGCGTGATCGGCCATCCTGTACTCCGATCTAACAGTCGTTTGCCGCCGGCAATTGGGGATATTTTTTTGCTTTTTGAGTTGCTTTCCTTACGCTCGCAAGTGTGGGGAAAGAGGGAAAATATCGAAAGGCTTAAAGAGCGTGATTTCGAACCTGAGGCTCGGATCCGAACCAAGTGGTTCGGCAAAATAACGGAAATCGATGAAAAGCTGGTGTCCGCTAAAAAAAAAGAAAAAGAAAATTCTATCTCAGTTGATGCATTCGAGGATAAACGGAAGACGTCGGATTTAACGGCTTGAGAATCTTTCGGACAGCCCCTCGTTGACGGCGTCAAGCTGTCGTTGATTCTACGTGACTGCACAACGCGCAATGGGCGCTGTTCCGGGCCCTTTTCCGGTAAATTTGGAATATGTCGACACGTGGGTGCGCATAAATGGAGCATTACAAAAGATTGGTGGGCCAGGAATAATGGCTGGGCTTCAAGCAATAGTGGCATCCAAATTAGTTGGGCCGACTACAACCGACGACTTTGGTTTATTTCAGTCTTGAAATTGCTGAAGGTTCTAATGACGCGGAGTGGTTCACCAATCACCATCCATTTACACACTCAAAGGACGAAGATTTCTTTTTTGAAATGTATTATTTCTAGTCGTTCCCGGAATAAATAGTCGATAAAATATGTATATATTTTGTGTATATGTGTATTGTATAAAAAAATATATACATATTTTATATAATTTTTTAAAAAAATGCAATTAGTTTCGACCAATTTTATTCTTTTTTTCTCTAGAAAAGGTCGAAGATGTTACCCTTTTATTTATTTTTTTTTTATGTAGGTCCATACATCAGTGTGTACCTAGAGTTATCTTAAACTCCTAGGTCCTTGAGTTTTAGTCGAGAAATTTATTTACATATGTTAAATTTTTTAATTTTCAATAAGCCTATTTTTTGGTAGTTAAAAGTTTATACCTATTGCAACTTTTGCTCGTCTACTTTTACGTGGCACTATTTGACAGAACAGTGATTTAAAGATTTTTTTTTTTACTTAAATATTACATATCATAATGTAAAAGGGTACTAAAATTTGGTTGCAATGTTAATTTGATGAGACGACTAAGTATGACTATTAAAATAAATTTGATTTCATGAAATTTCTGAAGTTGTATTAAATAACATTATTAATGGGAGTATGCCTAAAACTCCAAGTTTCCAACACGTCTCAAATTAAGAAATGCGTCGTATGATTTAGAAATTATAATTGATAAAGTAATGTATGTTATAATTTTGAAATAAACGTCCCTTACTATGTTATTAAATAAGTCATATTATTTATTTTGCCCATGGGAATAGGAATTTTAAAAGAAAAGAAATGTGCAACTGCGAATCCACGTTCAAAGAACACGACTGATCATCATTAACAGTATATATTGAGATTGGGATGAAACATAAGATAAACAATCCATTGGGCAAAAGAATAATTTAATATTTTTTGTCCTAATTCCTATAGACATGTTGACAGAAAGCAATTCTTGAACTTTGCAATCTTATTGTAGTCCTACAGATTTTCTTCATTCACATGGTAGCAATTTTTTCAACTCTCCAATTTTGTGTGCTATGCTATGCAACTAGAAGGAGGACCAGAACAAGTTTTAAATAGCGAAAAATGATCAATTACATTTTTAATCTTAGTTCTAAAAGCTCATGCCATTTGAGGTGAGCAAACTAGTAAAATAGGCCGATATTCTAAAAGGAAAATTGCGATGCTGTCTTGTACCCTTAACTTGAATTTTGCCATTTTTTTTATGTCTAAAGTACCTTGGATGATCCTACACCACAATATCTCGAGCTAATGGCCTAATTCAAATTCGTTAGGGAACAGTGCTCCTATCAAAAAAAATTTATTCTCAAGGCTCAAACTCAAAATCTCTAATTAAAGACATGAAATTCATTCATCCTACACATCCCTAGTTGGAACCACCTAGCTAGCGGTTAAATAAACATGCCTCCATAGAGTTTGAAGTGAACTCTTGACAATTATTAACGATTAACCAGTTAATTGAGGTGAACAAAGTAGTAAAATAGGACGAAATTCTAAAAGGGAAATTGCGATGCCGTCTTGGCCTTGCACTCTTAACTTGAATTTGCCATTTTTATGTCTAAAGTACCTTGGATGATCCTACACCATAATGCCTCAGAAGGACGACCTAGATTTTTTTTCTTAAAAGCCATTGGGTATCAAAAACTAATGGCCTAAACTAATACTATATATTTGCACCGAGTGGCTCACTTAAGAGGGAAACACTCTTATTAGAAAGGTCTGACTTCTAATTAAAGATAAAGAGATTCATACATTCCACACATCCCTTACTGGTACCACCTAGCGGTTAAAAAAATATGTCTCCATTGAATTTGAAGTGAACTCTTAACAATTGTTAACTGTCAACCAGTAAACGAGTTAACTATATATACCTCAACTCTTCAATCTTATATTAGCTAGAGCAGTTACATAAATATTTCTTATTCATTCCGCTCTTTTGTGGTCCACTCCATTCCCCTACCATCAATTTTTTAAAAAGAAAACAAATGCTAAAGTCCCTAAGTCATGGTCGTGGCACCAAACAACTCTTTTTGGCAGGTAGAATTTTATTGTTTTGAACGAGACTAAAGGGTCTAACAAGATTTCTTGGTCGCTGGTCTGACTTACTAAAGCTGTCACCTCAGCATGAACCTTAGAATTGTAAAGACTTCCCATTTCTAGATCATGGGTTGTTAATATGTACTAATTACCGGTGTTTTAAAAGGCGTTCTCGGGCAAGCTCCGAGGCGAGACGCACTAGAAATGCCCTGAGGCGATGGTGTGAGGCGAAAGTCTCAAAAGGCGTACACCCAACAATTCGGGGCGTACATCCGGGCGTTCGGAGAGTACACCCGGGTGCTTGAGACGAGTTTTTTTAGTTGAGGCGTAAGCCCCAGAGACTTTTTCAAATTAAAACAAAATTTGTTGAATAAGAAGGAACTGAAATGTAAAATCTAAAAGTCAAGACCTTTTTTATTGATTGAAGCCCTAATTCATGGTATTTCCCAATTCTTTATCTCGTCCGCTAGTCTGCTAATATCTCCCAAAAGCAATGAATATTTAATTTTTTTTACAAATACAAAGAGAACTCCATTCTCCTTCATAGCAATAAGTTCTGAGTTCAAATTCTAGGTTAGTCAATCTTTTTGTTTCTTTCATGTAGAAAGCTTTATTCTTTTCGACTCAAGCTACTTGAGTAGTGTATAATAGATTGTTTTGACTAATTTTTTTTGGGGATGGAGTGTGTGTGTGTGTGTGTGTGTGTGTGTATATATATACATACATACATATACATATTTATAGTTTTTTTCAATTTTTATGTAATTTTACATGTTTATAAATATTTACTGTAATTATATTATTTTATAAAATATTAAAACTTAAATATCTATGGGCTTATGCCCCGTGCCTCGGGGCTTACACTTCGTTGAAGCATATATAAAACGCTCCGCCTTACGCCCACGACTTTTAAAACACACCTAATGACTAAACAAAACCGTAGTAGGAAAGCAGGAGACCTAACAATTAATTTTGGCGTCTTGATATTCCCAGCATGACAGCTTATTCTCTGCAAAATTACTTCCCACTTTACCCAATTTAAGAGTCTATATTTGTGTTTAACTTTTATATTTTGTGAAAAAAAAATATTTATATAATTATGTCACTTATTACGTAATTACACGTAGCTTTTACGATAAAAATTAATGCATAAACAATTAAAAAGATTCAGCAACGTGATATTACAAATTAAACTATAGTTAAAATGTAAAAAATATGTATATACTTTAAAATGACCAGCTAGTGATTGTCACGAATATTTAAAAAAAATAAGGAGATTACAGCTTTACCTGTTGAAACATGGAGTAGACCTTCTTCTGAAGCAGCTTAAGAGATGAAGTGATTGTTTACCTCAGGAAGAAGATAGGCATTTCTATATTCCATTTTTTAGGCATTTCTGTATTTCATTTGAATAGTTTATTCGGGTATATGCATTTATTCTGGAACATTTCAAGAATATGCTAACAAGAAGGTCCAAAAGAGTCCACATCCTGTCAAAATTTTACATAAATGTACTTCACCTAATAAGCCTTGTCTTTCTTTTTTTCCGCACCTGGTGTCCTTAGTAGAATCCACATTGCGCTCCGCTTAAATTCGTATTCGCGCCAAAAAGTCTCATATTTAGAGTAAAATGCTCTATAACAAAGAAGACTTATATTCAAAGCTCGAACCAAAAATATGTGGTTAAAGATGAATGAATGCTTATCATTCCACCACAAATCCACAACCTAATAAGCCTTGTACTAGTATGGAAGGAAAAACAACTTTCTTTAATGATTTAGGTTAGAGTTAGACATCAGATCAACATTATTTTTACCTTTTGTTTTATAATTAACTTTACTAGTAATTGTTATGCCAACTCAAATTGTTTTTTTAAGTAGTAAATTAGATTGTCCCCTTTAATTATGTTATTAATGATACTACATGATTTAAAAATTGTATTACTTAAGAATAGATACTGACAATTGGCGTCATCAAACTAGAATTTCAAACAATTTCATTAATTCAGTAAATAATTCTCCTGAAGTTTAAAATTGGTCACTATAGAATTAGTTTGTTATTATAGTAGTACAATATATTGTTGTTGCGACCAAGCGCACACGCAAGTATACGCGATCGTCAAGTAATAAAGTGACTATAAGTCGGATGTCGAACCCACGAGGACTTGTGATTAACTACTAACTAAATTATATTATTCTAATTATCTAAACAAGAGTTAAACCTAGAAGTATTTGATTCTAAACTAATTAAATAAAGAAATATAAATAATGAACTTTGAACAGAGGAAGAGCAGATTTTTATGTTATCAGTGTGATGAAAACGATCTAGGGTTATGGGCTACCTAACATTCCTCTTGTATTTTTCAATTGAATTGTCTAACTAATTTATCTAGTTTATTGGTTAACATGGTTAATATTGCTCATAAGAATCTATCGGGTTCTTACTCGCCTATTCACGCTAACCTAACGCCTATATGTCTATGGGGT